TGGTGATTTTTTTAATATTAACCATGTTTTTCAAGTAAACAATTTTTTGTTATTGTTATGTAAAAATATTTTTTTGCGCTTTAGCCAAGCAACTTTTTAATCTGAATTTTTAGAACAGTTTTATGGCCCATTAAATATTACAGGGCGATTCTGGCAACTGTCTTTAAACTCCCCACAGTCTTGCGAAAGACAAAAGTGTTTCGTAAGACAATTGTCAATTGTGGCAACTATATTGGAAGGTCTTTACTGTCTTTCGAAAGACTAACCGCCGATTTCTCAGTTGATAAATAACTATAAGTTAACAAATAATAAGTAAATCAATAGTTAACTGCCCAATGTTCGCGAACTGACTATGAGTTAATCATCTATTAAGTACACTGAGAAACTGATAAGAAGAGATAATCTTTGGATTATAATTAAACATCCACTGAGAAATCGGCTGTAATTGAAAGATCTACTAACGAGAGGTCTTAGCGTTATGCTGTTCGATTTTTACCAATAAGTTTTTTAAAAATTAAATTAACTTCAAAAAATTTATATACCTACATATATTTTTCTTTTTGAAAAAATAAAACCTAATAAAAAAGAAAATTTCATTTAGAAAAGAGAAAAAATAATTAAAAATAACTAAAAATCTGTTTAAAAATTTTATCAAATTACAAAAAAAATCAAAAAGAAGAAAAAAGTACTTAAAAAAATTAAAATAATATTACTGACAAATACATTAAACGTGATACTTTTTTACTTCATAATTTGAAAAGTACTTGGCTTTACTTCTCAAAATGGGTGAATTTTCACCCGAAGATCGTATGAGGGTTAAAAAAAAAGTTTTTCTTTTTAAAGAATAACATCTAAGAACTAAAAGCAAAACTAAATTAAAAAAATTTATTTGAAAAGAAAAAAATACATAAAATTAAAGTCAAAGTCAAATTAAATGAAATTAAAAAATATATCTTTTTCTTTCTAAAACAATGCAATAAAAAAAAAATTATTCCAAAAAGAAAAAAATATTTAAACTAAAAAATGAATAAATCCGCTGCTCGGATCTCTCGAATTTCACGCGAGTGCTTTGCTCACTCGGCCATTCCGACTATTGGAGCAACGCGAGCTAAATTATATACAAGTGCTTTCTCTTAAATAAATAAATAAATTTTCACCACGAGTGGTGAATGAGAGAGCTTTTTTCCTAAAACTTTTGTGATAGAATAACAAAAGCCTTTCTACTTTTTACTATCTTAGCCGGAATTGCCCTGTTAGTATAACCAACAAGGTCCAGCTATAAATTCCCGTTGATTAATTTTTTTTTAACAATTGCCATTTATAAAAACTGTTGTTGATTTTTTTGAATTCTTTTCGTTTTATGTAAAGAATCATTTAAAGTATTTAGGCAATCAGAAGCTTTTCAGGATTCTAGTAAAATGAGTTATGTATATAAAAAGTGGTCATTACAGCATTCTAAAATTTATGCAATAAAGTAGATTACAGTTTTGGAATGAAATTTTTAATATAAAGATGAGCCAAGGGGAATACTCTGGATTTATACGTCTATGAACAGACCCATAATCTGCTATGCGTCAGTAATATTGATTTGGCGAAGGATAATCTCAATCGATAGATGGCAAATCTACTTGATGAACTTCAAACAACGATGGACGTGCTGTACGGAAGCTTTCCCTACACCTGGTGCTACTCTTGAGGCACTGCTACACTTAACGTTACTTTGTATCTTTATAATTACGTGAGGAAGTCTTAAAGACCACCTGCCAAAAAAACGGGTGTTGGAACAGCACTGAGTGGGGCGAGGCGGAAATTGCTGGCGGAAGAGATTTGAGCACTTGTGTCTTTTCAATGCCACAGGATACTACGCCACCATTACTTTTGTTGAAGAGATTTTAGAATGTTCAGTTCCCGGAGGTTGAATGCTGATTCAATACCAACACTAAGGCTGAGATATGCTTCTGTTTGCTAAACTGAGGTATTTGCAATCCTGAAGGCCATGAATTACGTGATGACCCAAATGGCCAGTGTAAGAGGTACTTGCTCACAAGAAGTAGGGCGTAGGTTGGTCTGAGTAGCATCCGAAAATCTTTTCACAGCTGTCTCTTCACGGCAGGCTATGACAGACCTCCGAGTATAATACTGCCCTGAATACCGTGTGCCGTTCGGAGGCGGCTTAAAACCTCGAGACCTTAAACTACAGATTGAAAAGAACAGTGCTCATACAGGAAGATATAACGAAGGGGTTTCTCGACTCCGAATTTTGTAAAGGACAATGACAGTGTTGTAGGTGAAGCATAGAAACAAATGTCTTCAGTATACAAGGAACGTCGCTACTCTCGAAGTGAGCACCCCTGATATACTGTGTGTCGTACCAGCTCCGAAGCAGACATGTTTGCTTTATTAGTTCATATTTTGCACTACAGGGGAAGTGACGTGCACACCTGCTAAATAAGTATGTATGTACTAACACACTTACATTTAAATAGTCCCATTACTATCCACATTTAAAACTCGGAACTAAATACTGTAAGTGTTGCTCTTTGACCTTAGCGCCAATTTATGCTTTCGAACAAAAGACAAGGAAAAAGAATAAGCTGAACATTGTGACATCACCTAAATAATTACGAAAACAAATGTCATATTTCCTCATTCTTACGAAAAAAAAAAATAAAGTGCACACTTCCACATACCGAAATGGAGCAAAGTAGAGGGACGCACCATTGGACTTGCTGTAGTCGTCACAATTAACATTGACCTTAACGTTTGGCCAGCGGCAGTCAGTCATACATACGTAGTGCTTTAGGCATCTGACAAGAAGCAACAATTGGAAACAATGAAGTACTTACTTATTAAATGTAATGGGCAGCTAAAATAAAGACAATTTCCGCTAACACTTGACAAGGTGACAAAATGGCAAAAAATGCTCGCTTGAGTTGAAAAACGGACAGCAAAAGGCGAAAAAGTATTGTTGATGTGGTAATTAGCGGGTGGACGGACTGAGACATGGTTGGACAAAAGTTTACTTAATTGTAACATTAGCGCAATTATGAATGAGTGCGAAATGAAGAAACAATGTAAGACCAGAAGCATTTAGATCAAGTTACCACGCAAAGAGTTAATGTTTTTGTTTTTTGTTGACTACATAAAAGGCCGAGTGTTGGGCGTGATTTTTTTTCATTCACATATGATATGTAGGTATTTATGTACACCGCAAGGTGCATTCAACAGGTAGTATCAGTAGAGCAGCTGATTTGATTTATTTTCAAATTATTTGGTCTCGAAAATGTCAAATATTTTTAATTTTTTCTCACAAAAATTCTGAATTGTTAAAATCCATTTGCATGTGAAACCTTTTTCCATACAAAACAAGCGATTGAAAGCAGCTTTTGGAACGTTCGCCCAACTCAGCAGCACAACCGCTGATTACTGGCCCTTGTAAAGGATGGATCAATGCTTCGAGAAGCAAACAAATTTACTAGGAAAGAAAGTTGCCACAATTTTTATTTTTTCCAATTTCATTTTTTTATTATTTATGTATTTCACATGGCACCCTTTGATTTAGAAGAAAAAATTCAGAACATTTGTTGACACTTTCGATACCAGAAGCAACAACAAAATAAACGCAAATGTTGTTTTTGCTCTACTGATACTACCTGTTTAATGTGCCTTTGTACACCGTTTTTTTTAACTGTTAACACATGTAAAGCAAACATATACATATTTATGTATGTACAATTCTTTCGTAGATTTCCACACAACTCGCTCTTGAATGTGCCGTTTGTTTTGTGTCTACTTCACTACCGGTGATTGACCCTTATTAAATGAGACAACTGTTGCTTTTGTGACTGACCACTTTGATATACTACATATGTACATATGTAAGTGAATACAGTGATGGCCACATAATTAGGGACACTACTTCTAATAAGTTTTGACTTTTTTTTTTAAGTAAAGTAAAAGTCAGAAATACAAAATTTCACATCATGAACCCACTCTCTGCGAATGGTACACTTAAAAAAATAAAAAAAAATAATAAAAAAATATAGGGCAAGTGGATTCACGAGATTTTCCTCTTTTTCTAATAAAAAAAAAAAATAAATAACTGGGAAATGCAAATTAGCGTGGACCGCAAATCCGCTTTTTTAGAATTTTGATTTGTAATAGCAAAAATATGGTTCATTATATTCTAAAATGTGTGAGATATGACAATTTTTAGTCAATATCTTAGGCTCGCCCAAGTCCACCAAAGTTCCATGGGCTCAAAAAATAAAAATTAATAAATACATTTTTTACTTGATGTGATTTTCAAAAGTATTACTTATTCCTACATAATTTGGTATATGGACCTTTTTTGTAGAGAATCGAAGTAAGCTAAGAAAAAAAATTTTTATCACTTGAACTTTGGTGGACTTGGTCGAGCCTAAAATATTGACCAAAAATTGTCATATTTAACACAGATTGTATAATGAACTATATGTTTTCTATTATCACTCAAAATTCTAAAAAAGCAGATTTTCGGCCCACGCTAATGTATATGCTAAAGATTATTAGTAAAAAAAAAACTGCGAGTACTGGTTCGTCAAGTTTTGAATGCAGTTTTTGGGCATATATCTGAATCTTTTTGCGCGACTGCAAATTATTATTATTATTATTATGAGCCTTGAGCACTGCGACCTCTAAGGTAGTCTATTGTGCGTGGCCTTTTACCCTATATATGAAGGCTTTTAATATAAGCTAGCACTTCGGTGGGCTTTTTGTTCCATATTTCGAATGGATTAAGTGTTGTACCACCTAGGTGAGCGTGTCTGCGTCTAGCGAGAGCAACACATTCACAAAGGATGTGTTCTGGC